CTCAGACACAGTCAACCCCACAAAATGCGGCTGCCCCTTTGCTCTGAAGATGTCCGCCTGCCAGCTGCTGTTGGAAATCACCACTTTCCTGCGGGAGACCTTCCCCTGCCTCCCGCGGCCTCGAACCGAACCGCTCGTGGTCAGTAGAAATCAATTCCTAACTAACCCCATTCAGGACTTTCCTGTTGCCAGAAGGTCTTTCGGGATAGGTGCAAATATTCATGACAGACTTTTATACTGTGTTAAATAAATGTTCTGATAAGTTGACGTTTGGTTCCAAATGCATGACAAATGTCCCTCTCTTTATATTTAAAAAAAATAATCTTCAAAAATAAAAACACAATACCTGTCACCGTAACCAAAAGACCCCAAAACTCCTGAATATGGTTAAGGATATTAATACTAAGAGCAAAAACATATAAAAAGAAAATAGAACAAAGAGACAAAAGTATGAAGAAATATATCTACTTGTTGTCTGTAGGATCTCGACAGCTGCCGTCTGCGTCTGGACCCAGAACTCGGCCGCCATCGCTACGAGAGGAAAATCAGCTTCGCGGGCATCCTTGACGACGAAGACGGACACGATTCCCTCAACAGCAGCAGCCACACCCTGAAGTCCGACACCACCGGCGAGGACAAGAAGCCGCAGGAGGCTCAGGGTGAGACCCGGAGTCGTCAAAGACCGCCTCGCTCGGTTCATCCCCGCTTCCCCTTTTTGCTCATTTCTCATTCATGATTGTAGATAATCTCTCCCCGCTTCCCTGCTCCCCAGCACCAATTCGGAAGATTCGGATCGGGGGATCCCGGCTGCTCCAGATCAAGGGGGCGCGCAGCTTCCGGGTGAAGAAGGGCGGCTCCCTGTCCTCCATACGGCGAGCGGGGAGCCTGAAGAGCACCAAGCTGTCCCGGCAGGACTCGGAGTCTGAGAACGAAGAAGGGCTGCTGTCACAAACGCAGAGCAGGGACACCGTGACCGACATCGGTGAGACGTGGATGAAGCGTGACAAATGATGATGGTTCAGTGAGAAATGCAATGTAGATATGCAACAAGAACAAAACAACAAAGCAGCATTTCAATGTCATATTTGATTCAAGAGTTTCTGAGATCTCGACATCATCAGTGTGCCTGAAAAACCTGATGCATACAATCAGACGCACACATAATCCACCGGAGGTCGTAATTCAAGCACCAAAAAATGCCAGATGATAGAAATTTAACCTCATTTATTCAATTCAATTCAAATAACTTTATTTGTCCCCTTGGGGCAATTCAAAAGCTCACTGAGTATTTAATATAAAGACAAAAACATAAACAAAAAGAACCCACATCATAAATATTACATCATATAAATGGGCATTGATGGTTGTGCATTGAGCAGGAGAATGAAAATCATAATTCCATTTTTTAAAAATTTGTCAGAAGGTTTAGTAAATGCTTTATTTAAAAAAAAAAAAAAAATAGAATTTTAAGGTTCAGGCTTTACAGGTTTAAGTCTGATGTTTCCATTTGCTTAAAGCATCTTTAACCCTCAGAAACCGATGGACGCACTTTGCTTCTAAAGTCACATTTCTTCTTTTTTTTTGTTTAAATGCTCTTAAAATATTTCGTGCATTACACTGCAGCATATATCTGTCAAAAAATACATACATAAAAAAGGAGAAATTTAAAAATATCAATGAATGATTGCAGCAACACTTTTATTTTAAAAATAATATAAAATGCAATTATTATCCTATCAATCAAATAATGGAAAGTCTGGATAGCCTGGACTGTTGTGGAAAAATCTAAATAAACGGTGGATGGCGAACATTTTGATAACAACAATAAGAGCTTAAAAGTTGCCAAAATGAGACCAGAGCTCTTGCTTTAATGAGAATTAGATTCTACATCCAGACTTCTGTCACAAGTCACAAAATGACATATTTCTGGGTCTCGTTGGTTCCTGTTGCAGGCAGTCCCTTCAGCACCAGTGAACCCAGCATCGAGCCAGAAGGTCAGAGCTCAGGAGGAGCAGAGGACAACTACCACCGCAACATGTCCTGGCTCCATGTACGTAGGTGCCCACGCTGTGCCTGTGTGCTCCTTTTTTTTTTTTTTCTCCCCCTCATCACCGACTCCCCCTCCTCTCTCCTCTTTCTCGGCACAGATCATGATCCTGCTGTGCAACCAGCAGAGTTTCATCTGCACCCACATCGACTTCTGCCACCCGCGCTGCTACCAGCACCACAGCCGCTCCTGCGCCCGTCTGGTCCGCGCCATCAAGCTCGTGTACGGGGAGTCGGTGGACAGCCTGAGGGAGGACAGCGCCTCCGCCGGCAACTTTGGAGGACGGGCGAAGAAAAGCAAAGAGGTGGTTTTCAAACTGGCTGCATAAATGAATACGGTTGTTTCTTTTTGTGGGTGATTTATTAAAGTGTTTTCGCCTTCAGTGTTCAGACAAATCTTGCCTGAGGACCCCGTCTATGAAGAGGAGACCCACTGACTGCAACACAGAGGGAAAGAAGGACACGGGCATGCTCAAGTATATTCGCAATCAGGTGAATTAGTGCTCAGAGTTCGCCTTTATCATCAGAATAGGACGGGCTGAATTACCTTTTCATATCAACCCTCACATAAAAAAGTATATTTAATGTTAAAGCTGTAATATGTGGGAGTTACCACCTCGTCCATGAACATCCACATCAGACAGATTTTTGTTAGCAATGGTGTCAAAGACAACAAATCCCATGATCCCTTGCTACTTCATGACATCATCAAACAGCATCTTTTGTTACCATCTTGATTGAAAGCGGGAGAAATTAACTTACACCAAAGGCCGAGCAATGAATACGTCACAAAATACACATTTAAAAGACAATGTCAGGGTTGTTTTCATTCCAAAAGAGGATGACATAATTGGAACCAGAGGTGGCAAATCGCAGCATTAAAATTTAATAAATTATTAAATAACACATTTGCTCATAGCTACAACAAACACGATCTCAGCCCTGCTTGCGTTTTAAGCTGTTATTTGCCCTCAAAATAAGGAAGTGATTAAAATAGCACAAATGAAGCAAACAGTTAACAAAAATAAAAGGAGTTTGTCCTTCTGTTGGCTCAAACTACGCAGTAGATTTCTTATTTTATTGCTATTAACATATTGGGGCTTCACTTTTTTAACCCTATTTACCTCATTTATCTCCTTTGCTCTTACAGTTTCAGGATTCAAATCAAATCTAATAGAGTTTTTTCCCTTCGTTTCAGGTGATGAGCTTGTCACCGGCGCCTCTTTCGCTGCTGATCAAAGCGGCGCCCATCCTCACCGATGACATGTACGGAGACATCCAGCCGGCGGCCTGGGAGCTCCTGCTCAGTGTGGACGAACATATGGCGGCCGCTGCCGGTGAGTCGACCTCTGTGGTTTGCTCACACGGTCTCTAAATGCCTCATTTGCATCAAGCTGACATTCAGTTCTGTTTTGGTGTTCGTATCCTAACAGCCTCCATTTTCTGTTCACCTTCCATCACAACTGCCCTTTGTTTTTTTTCTACCTTTCCTCCAAGTGAATCACTCATTTGCCCTTTTTTTTTTTTGTCCTCTTCGTCCCTGCCTCTTGCCCCGTTTCCTCCCTTTTTAATTCCCTCGTCTCCTCGTTGTTCCCCCTCCAGCGGCCATGTTCCTCCTGTGCGCGGTGAAGGTCCCCGACGCGGTGACCGAAATGATGATGGCGGAGTTCCAGCACCAGGAGGCCTGCCAGCGCATCAACTCCATCCTCAAGTTTTACACGCTGTGGCGTTTCCGCTACCAGGTGTGGCCTCGCATGGAAGAAGGAGCCCAGCAGATCTTTAAGGTACAAGACAGCAGCAGTGTCGCATTTCTATCAGGCTTCTTTTGGCCATTTTGATCCATTTGGTGCTATAATTAATCCTCGTTTCAGATCCCTCCACCCAGCATCAACTTCACTCTGCCGTCTCCGATACTGGGCATGCCTTGTGTCCCCATATTCGACCCTCCCTGGGTGCCCCAGAACACTGGCAGCGTCCAGGACCCGATCAATGAAGACCAGTCTGTAAGTGTGAGCCCCTGCAAATGTTTTATGTAGCTTTGAAAAACAGCTGTGAAGATTTTCTGTTTGAAAAAAAGTGTCTGCACTAGGGCTGTAGTCAACCAAAGGAGGTCTTGGCTGACTGAAAATGTACAAATCAGTTGTTTGTGGGGGGAAAATATCCAACCTTCTAACCGTATTAGCCTAAATTAACGATAAGTAAATTAAAAAAGCGAGTATTTTGCAGCGTGTTCAATCGTTTTAACCTGATTAAAATAAGAACTTTCAATTTCAATCCAGTCAAATAGTTTAAAGCCGGCGTGTCGCTCATCCGTAGTCTCCTCCTCCTGCTGCCAAAAATAATGGATTAATCCAGGAAGGCTTACGAAGGCTTTTCTCCTCATGAAAGTAGCGATGAGAATTGAGAATCAACAAAATGACCTGGACACTACAGCCCTAGTATGCACATATATGTGAATCAGAAATGTCTGTGAAGATTCCCAGTCATCCAGGTCATGGTTATTCTGGTAGGTTAATCGTAGCAACTGGACTTGCTTGAAGACGTCTCATCCAAGAGGCTTCATCAGTTCTGACTGACTAGTTGGGAGCTCCAGGTACTTATATCCTAAAGGAGCCACTAACACCTGAGTTGTTGCTCCAGCGCAGCGAGGAATCCCAAGACCTGCACCAGACCAGAAGAGCCAGCTCCTCAGGACAGGACTCAGCAGTCCACCTGCATATCAAGGACAAGACACTCATTCAAAGACAACAACGTACAGATTTTGGCCTGCAGGGAGGACAGATGGTTCGAGAGAGGGGTGAAAGAAGCCATCCAACTGGAAAGACCATCCCTCAACAGAGGTGGAGGTCTGAGGCATCACCTGTTTACAATTCAGTCTGAAGATCTGTCCCCAGGAAGATGAAACCACATCCACACCGAGCCACGAAAGACCCTAACGAACCCTACTCTGGCAGGGGGAAACTCAGGTGTTCATGTCTCCTTAAGGATAGAAGCATCTGGACCTCCCAACTAGTCAGTCAGAACTGATGAAGCCTCTTGGATGAGAGGTGGAACGTCCTCAAGCGAGTCCAGTTGCTACGATTAATCCACCAGAAGTGAATCAGAAATGACACAAAATTTGTCCAAAACGAAAATTTCCCCGAAGCGAGAGCAAGTGTTGTTCTTATTTAACAGCCTTGTCCTTTACATCCCGAAACAACAAAACAGATTTTAATTGTGGATATTTGATTTTGAAAGCTATATATTTAGTCCCACTCAGCCCCACAGTGTACCCAAAAGCGGATAAAGTGCACTTTAGACTGCTTCCAAATACATTTGTTACTGCTCTGCAAGTGTAATGTGGACGACTGCACCAAGAAATCTGCTCATGTAAAGACAATATATATATACTGAATACATTTTTAAGGTCATTTAAACTAGCCAAACAGATTTCTTGGTGTTTCCTTTTTTACTTTCTTCTCTTTTTTTTTTTTTGGTTAAAAAGCATGACTATCAAAATATGTTTTATAGATTTTTTGATGACGACCTGCGAGCACATGTTCTATAATTTATCTATCGACTGTCTTTGTTTTTAGTACCCCACATTAATTCAGTCAGTCCATACCATAGTAAGTTGGTATTTCTGTCCGGATGTTTGTGCTGATGCATCTTGTTACCTCAGATCATTAAATAGGAACGAGGGGGAAAATTGACATCATTGAGCCCATTGGGGAAGCTGTAGGTTTTCATCATGGACCAGAAGCGGGGGCGGTTTCATGGGTCATTTCGGGATAGTTGCATCTTGAGCAGAGAAACACGCCACATGTTTTTTTTTTAAAGAAAGTGTCCCAGCACTTGCTTTGATTGTAAGAAAAAAAAAAAAGAAGAAGAAGAAAAAAAATAACAGCATGCATCGGACATACAGACATTTTGTGTGTTGTGCTGTTGATGCATGGTCATTGGATGAGAATGACTTTGCCGTGTATGTTTCTCATATCATGCGCTCAGCCTGTTTAGATATGTATGTGTATGAGCACTCATATGAATGCTGTGAGGCATTTACTGTACACAAGATACAGTAAATTCTCCATATTCCAGTCTGAATACATTCGTGTCACAATTCGCCATGATTGAAATCATTCCTATTCGACACTCAACAGTGTTCCTTATGATGCTCAGGACGGCTTTAGAGCATGATATCAATGTGCTGGAGGAGAGTTACTGTATTAGTGTGTTGTCCGGTCATTCTACATTACGAAATGCTCCTCAGATGTAACCATAAGCCCTAGAGTAGCTGTGCACACACGTTCCTGAAAGATTTGAACGGTTGCATTCCCTCATTTTGAATCTTTTTTTTGTACGTCTACACCCGCTGTTCTACCTGCATGCTGTTTGATCCGCTCCTCAATTCCCACCCCCACCCCTTTTCCCACCCTCCTCGTAGAAATCCTTCTCGGCGCGGGCGGTGTCGCGCTCCCACCAGCGTGCCGAGCACATCCTCAAGAACCTGCAGCAGGAGGAGGAGAAGCGGCGGCTGGGCCGCGAGGCCAGCATCATCACGGCCATCCCCGTGGCTCAGGAGGCCTGCTACGAGCCCACGTGCAGCCCTCCGCCCGAGCAGGAGGAGGAAGGTGGGGCACACATATTGTGCACAGACACACAAGCAGTGATTAATGGGAATTGGCAAGCCGCTGCTAGCTCTGTACCCTGATAGCGTGTTGTTTCCCCCGTATCTGTACTGCTTATGTTTGACATTGATCCCGCCAGCAGAAGAAGTGGTGAACCTGGCATCACGCCGTCTGTCTGTCAGCCCGTCCTGCGCCTCCAGTAACTCCCACAGGAACTACTCGTTCCGCCGGGGCTCCGTGTGGTCCGTCCGCTCGCTCGCCAGCGCTGAAGGTACGGACAGAAAAAAATAAAAAATGTTGTTCTCGATGTGAAACTTGAGCTGATCTTCCTTTGTTCATATTTTTTTGTTTTTGGCAGATGAAGAAAACACAACAGAACACACTCCCACTCACCACATGCTACAGCCGCCTCAAGCTGTCTTCCCAGCATGCATCTGTGCCGCCGTCCTACCAATAGTGCACCTCATGGAAGACGGGGAGGTTCGAGAGGACGGCGTCGCTGGTATTTGTCATCATATGTTTTTAAAAAAGCAGCAAAAATTCATACACTGATAGATTCATCGATTCTAGTACAAAAATGTATGTTTGTATGTTTTTTCAGTGAGTGCTGTCGCCCAGCAAATCCTCTGGAACTGCCTGATTGAAGATCCAGCTCTGGTTCTCCGACACTTTTTGGAAAAACTAACAGTGAGCAACAGACAGGTAGGCAGACAGATTCGACAACTTACTTTGTTGACGTGTGAGCTCCCATCTAGCGAATTAAAGCTTTTTATTTTAACCCTCAACCAAGTCAGATGACTTGCTGTTATTGTTTTCTCACGCCAGGACGAGCTGATGTACATGCTGAGGAAGCTCCTGCTCAACATCGGAGATCTGCCGGCTCAGACTTCTCACATCCTCTTTAACTACCTGGTAGGGCAACAGATACAACTCAGTGGATTTTTCCCTTATTTATCTGCAGTCTTTCGTCACTTTTCTCGATTAATCTCCTCCCTCCAGGTGGGACTGATCATGTACTTTGTGCGGACTCCGTGCGAGTGGGGTATGGACGCGATCTCGGCCACGCTGACCTTCTTGTGGGAGGTGGTGGGCTACGTGGAGGGGCTTTTCTTCAAGGACCTGAAGCAGACCATGAAGAAGGAGCAGTGTGAGGTCAAACTCCTGGTCACTGCATCCATGCCAGGTAAACTCACTGGTAGTAAATGGCAATAATGACCAATGGTGATATCAGTTGATTTTCTGAATATAATTTGGAAGTTTAGACAAAACTTATTTGTCTTGAATGAATGGTTTCGTTTAACTTTATCCTCCACTGAGACTTAATTTTCTTGATTTTCTGTCAAACCTTCTAAAACATTTCCCTGATGCAGGAACCAAAACATTGGTGGTGCACGGACAGAATGAATGCGACATTCCAACACAGCTGCCAGTCCATGAAGACACTCAGTTTGAAGCCCTGCTGAAGGTAAGGACACCGAAGTGGACTCGTCATCTAGGAATGCAGGCTGTAACTAAATGACAAATTATGCTGGATGAGAGTCAACTAAATACTGAAAATATTCATATGAGTGAACCTAAGATGTCTCCTTTTTTGTCCTACCAGGAGTGCCTTGAATTTTTCAACATTCCCGAGGCCAGATCAGCACATTACTTCCTCATGGACAAGCGATGGAACCTCATTCATTATTCAAAGGTAGAAAAAAGTCAAACTGGCATGAAGCATCGGCATAGCTTTTCAGCTGGTTATGACATATTACTGAAAGATTAAGTATGAGTTTCATTGATTTTGTTGGTGTAGCTCGAGATAGAAGAAATACGTTGATATGTGAAGCATTGTCCATCCTTATATACAACACTAGCAAGGAATGTGTTGGGCTGGACTGCACTTAATGTTTCCATCTCCCTCCTCCAGACATATGTAAGAGACATTTACCCCTTCCGGAGGTCAGTCTCTCCTCAGCTCAACCTGGTCCACATGCTGCCAGAGAAAGGACAGGAGCTCATCCAGAAGCAGGTATGAAATAAGTCTGCTTCAATTAGCTCCGTGGAGAAAATCAAACCAGATCCTGCAGTGGTAAAAGCTATGATCTGAGTGTCTACTGTTTTTCTAGGTGTTCTCCCGTAAACTAGAGGAAGTCGGTCGCGTCCTCTTCCTCATCTCCCTCACACAACACATGCCAGCCGTGCACAAGCAGTCCCACGTGTCCCTGCTGCAGGAGGACCTCCTTCGCCTGCCGTCCTTCCCGCGAACTGCCATCGACGCGGAGTTCTCGCTGTTCAACGAGCCACAAGGTGAGACGGACACCCAACTGAAGGATGCAAAGAAATGTTGAAGTCGTTGTGAGCGCCGTCTCTTCTCTCTCAGGCAAGGAGCTGTTTGGCCTGGACACCCTCCACAAGGTGCTGTGGATCAAACTCCTGGAGGAGATGTTCCTGGGCATGCCCAGCGAGTACCCGTGGGGCGACGAGATGATGCTGTTCCTCAACGTCTTCAACGGGGCGCTGCTGCTGCACCCGGAGGACAGCGCGCTCCTCAGGCAGTACACGGCCACCGCCATCAACACGGCCGTCCACTTCAACCATCTCTTCTCCCTGAGCGGCTACCAGTGGATCCTGCCCACCATGCTGCAGGTACCGAGAAAGGGCAGGAGTGGGGTGTGGGGATTAGAGATGTAAGCAGGGAGTTCCAACATCTAACAATAGAAGGTGTCCCGTACAGTATGGAAAAAGTGTTCTTCTGTCTCTACTGCTGTGGCAGGTCTACGCCGACTACGAGAGCAACCCTCTGCTGAGGCAGGGCATCGAGTTCTGCTGCCGGCAGTTCTACATCCTCCACAGGAAACCCTTCATCCTGCAGCTGTTCGCCAGCGTCGCGCCGCTGCTCGAGTTCACTGTAAGACGGCGATTAATGTGTAATATTGGGTAATGGGTTAAATTAGTATTCCTGAATTTCTCTGTCTTTACCACCCAGACCAGCACCAGTACCGGCCTCTCGAAGGGAGTGTCGGCCCAGTGTCTGTTCGACCTGCTGGTGTCTCTGGAGGGGGAAACCCAGGACGCCTTGGACGCTCTGGAGCTCGTCAAGGCTGAGAAACCTCTCCGCTCTTTGGGTAAGCTGTCATCAGGGTTACATCAGAAACACACCAGTTGTTTTTTTTTTGTTTGCTTTTGATGCCCAGAAACTGATGCCAGAGTTAATTAATCCTGAAAGCCCTCCTGTGTCAGCTTATCTTACATCAAACAAGCCCAGAAACCAGCCCTTACAAGTTGAATCAGCCTTCATGGAGCGAATATCCTCTTAAAAGCGCCAGTCCCTGTTTGTACTTGTGTGTCCAAACAAAACTAAATTCAGTCCTGTCTTTTTTTTGTTTACAGATTTCTGCTATGGCAATGAGGACTTGGCCTTTTCTATCAGCGAAGCCATCAAGCTGTGCGTCACCGTGGTTGCCTATGCCCCCGAATCCTTTAGGAGGTACAGAAAAGCATCACTTCTTTTCCCCTCTTCCGTTCGTATCTTTTCTTTAGTTTCTCTACAGCCCTTCTCTGTCTCTCCAGTCTCCAGATGCTGATGGTGCTGGAGGCCTTGGTTCCCTGCCACCTCCAGAAGCTGAAGAGCAACACGGTCACAATGGAGTCCGCTTCGGCCGCCAGGGACGAGATCGCCGCCATCGCCGCTCTGGCAACGTCTCTGCAGGCGCTCCTCTACAGCTCCGAGGCCCTCACCAGGTTTGTCTTGAAGACGCGGCTAAGTCCGGAGTGTTTTATCTGCTTTCAGTCCTAATTTCATCCACACCTCCTCCGCAGGCCCATGACGGCCCCCCAGATGTCTCGCTGCGATCAGGGCCACAAGGGTGGCACGACAGCAAACCACGCCATGTCCGGAGGGGTGAACACCAGGTCAGAGGATTTAATTCGCCTTGTTTCGGTCTTGCCATAGAAGGCTACAGTGCAGTTCTGGAGTCTGAAAACCCAAACTGAAGGGACTTTTTTTGTTTCGCAGGGACAACCTCCACCTTCTGGAGGAAGGCCAGGGCATGCCGAGGGAGGAGCTGGACGAGCGCATCGCCAGGGAGGAGTTCCGGCGTCCGCGGGAGTCCCTCTTAAACATCTGCACTGAGTTTTACAAACACTGCGGACCGCGGTTAAAAATCCTGCAGAACGTTGCGGGTGAGCCGCGGGTCACGGCTCTGGAGCTGCTGGACATCAAGTCCCACATGAGGTAGAGGAAGTTTTCTCATTATTCATTTCAGAGCATCTTCCATGAGATCCACTGATAAAAGCACATAAGACGGTTGTTCTCATTCTCATTTATTCACGTTTTCACCACCTACATCTTCTTATTCAGCCTCACACGCAGCTGAATGTCAAAATCACAAGATCTGAAAACGGATCTTGAAATTAGGTGGTGGCTAATTTTGCAGATGTGAAATAATACCAAAAGAGAATCATTTTCATTTTCCTTAAATTCTTGATTTATGTCCCTTAAAAAGACATCCAGTTGAATTAATGTCATGTCAACAAATTTATGGATGGTGCTTACAGGTATTTCCATTTTTTTTTTTAATTAGAAAAACAAATACAGATGGATGATAGCAATACTTCTGCACCATTTTTCACAAGCTTTGAATATATTTTAGATATATTTTGTATATAAATATGCAAGAAAATACAAACATGTAAAGAAAGTCTTCAGGTTTTGGACAAAACAAATCAGAGTGTCAGTTTGGACTTTGAAAAATTGTCATAAACACAAGAAAAATAATCAGTCGTAGCAGCCTTATAGTTGATTAAAGTTCCTAGATTTTGCCGTTATTGCAAATCGTTAGCCTCATAGCATACTTGCCTATGTCATATTTTCATGTTTTTGGGAAATGAGAAAAAACACAATTTTTAGAAATGACATTGGTATTTATTATTGATTTTTTTAACAGTACATTCAACCAGATGTGATTGGCCAATGACACAGGTAGAAAGACAGGATGATGCAGAAGTGATAGGAGAGTAAAGTTAGGCAAATATCTCAATTTGACCAAAGAATGACTTGGGCAATTATGCTATGAGGCTAATGAAATCTAATCCTTTGACCGACAGGCTGGCGGAGATCGCCCACGCCTTGCTGAAGCTGGCGCCCTACGACACCCTGACGATGGAGAGCCGAGGGCTGCGGCGCTACATCATGGAGATGCTGCCCATCACCGACTGGTCGTCGGAGGCCGTCCGCCCCGCCCTCATCCTCATCCTCAAGAGGCTGGACCGCATGTTCAACAAGATCCACAAGATGCCTACGCTCAGGTGCGCTCGCCCACAGGCACTATGCACCAGGTCTGTTGAATACGATCCCTCTTCTTTCTCTGTCTCCCTGTGAGTGTATCGTGCTGTGCCAGTGCCGTGGTGTGTACAGTAGATAACCGGCTTCTTTGGCACTGTCCTCTGTAGCGCTGCCTTCGTGGGTGCTGTACCGTAAGTGCTGCTGTGGTGTGTGTTTCTTGTGGGCACATGTGTGCTTCTGCGCGAGGACAACTGGGCGTGTGACGATGTGTTCTAACAACGAGTCGACGGCGGGGTTCCCTCTAAGCTGGGGGCGTCCAGTCTTGTGCCACGGAGCAGAACACGGATTTTAATGTCAGCGTCACAGTCTCAGGTTTAACTGAACAGAACTCATCTGATTAAATACTTAAAGGTGTTCTAGTGTCTTTTCAACATTTGTTGACATCAATAGTTAGATTCGTTAGAGAGATCCACAAAAACCAATCGGATGAATTTCATGAAACTTGCTGTAGATGTGGAGCAGAACATTTAAACTCGACTTTCTTTAGAACTGAAGGATGAAGGTCTGTGTTCTCTGAGTGGACTCTGGTTGTAGCAGCTGATTTAATACAAACATTAAGCCGCTTTCTTAAGAAATCTGAGCATCAAAACCTTAATTTCTTGCATTTTGGTGAATTTTTAGAAACATTAAATTACGAATTTGTGTCTTTTCTGCATTAACTTATAGTTCAAAGTCTTCAATTGTGTAAAATCAAGCTCAAGTTTTGGCTAATCGAAACCAGTTTCTTCATTTTAAGTATCAGAAGCAAATGTATTTTAGTAATGAGCTCAGTAACGATGCTGCCTGGTTGTAAATTAGGGATTTAATTGTGCTTTTCTGATCATCTTAAAGTGTGTAAAGTGTTTTCAGGCTGCAGAACTGAAACTGACCGTCGTGATTATTTTTTAAGGCACAAAGTTGTTTCTGATTCATCACGTTAAATCGACTTATTTTCACTGAAAAAAACCCAAATTTGTGACTTTGATATCCAGAGATCAGTGAGACTTTGGGTGCTCGTAACTTACCTCATGCATAATTATCAGTTTATTTGCATTACACAGTGAAAGGTTCTGTGAAGCCTGAGGGGGGAAGAAAAAAAACTTTAATATCATCAGAGTTTCTTTAAATTTTGCTTGTTTAATGACAGTAATACACTTTGTGCATTTCATACAGGACACACGTTAGATAGAAATGTACCTTAAAAGTGTTTAATACCCTTAAAACCTTTCAATAAGCTTCAGCAAAATTAAGCAAGACTGTAAAAATGTGCATATTTAATTTACTAGTCTGTGTACGAGGTGCACACAGTTCAGAGACCAGTTAAAAAAACCTTTACATGATTTTAGTTTGGACACCATCTCCATAGAAGTACAGTGACGCCCACTTAATGTCATTCTAGAATATCCCATTTATAATCATAAAATATTGAATCTTTTCCTGTATAACCTGTAGTTAAACAGCCCGTTTATTGTCATAGAATAATGTCATAATCCCATTGTTTTGTCACAACGAAATTCCCCGAAATTAGAATAACTTTTGCCCGTTTAAAGTCACGATCGGCCGCGGTAAGGTAACGTGTTTGTTTGTTTGTTAGAGATCTGCTTCACGGAGTTATTCACACTCATTAATTAGGGCTCATCAAAGAAAATCGATTTGTTGCAGAGCGAGTTAAGTTAAGTTAAGTTAATCCTCTGTGTGCTCTCTGATTAAAGGAACTTTCATTGAACGGGGTACCGACAAAGGGGAAATTTTACAGAAGCAAAACCATAAAGCTCCGTTTGAATCATGGAATAATTTATTTCCCATAATACATGCTGAAAACGTCCGGTGTCGGCCATGTTGGTCCGGTACATAGGCTCGTTTTCACACCCAAACTCGCCGCCATCTTGGAATATCCCAGATATATCCTGGACCGAGGGTGTGATAATAATCAGGTAGAACTGTACTCTTCTTGTGCAGTGATGGAGCTCCTGTAACACTTGCACCCTTGTTGTGCAAACATGTCAAACACCATCTCACGGTTGGCGCTGAATCTCCCGGAGTGTCAAAACAGCGATCCTTCAAGAAATCGCAGGAAGCTAAATCTGCCGAGGAGGGCAAGTGGAGCACTGCCTTTCAATATTTTCACCACCTAAGAAATCACATCCAAAAGTTGAATGCACTAAATAGGAAACGAGCTTCCGTGACAGAAGCCTGGACGCCGCGAGCTCGGAGGGAACGCTGGTCTCGGGTGTGTTTTCACCCTGAACCCTGTTCTGTTGCTGCTGTGTTTAGCTGGCTATTTCTATGTGAGCTTTGCAACCTGTGGTGTGAGTATTGTCTTCATGAAGGTGGTGGCGTTCATAACCCAGCGGTAAGTGTTTCATGGGGGCATACGAGGGTTTTCCAACATTTCAAATGAATCTTGTCATTTCCAAGGAAGACAAAGAAATAAAAACGACCTCTTCAGCATCTTTTTATTTCCTTTGTCGTCTTTCGTGATGTGAATGTGGCATTTTTTTAATTCATGACTGTTTTTTTTTTTTGTTTTTTTTTTGGTTGTGGGGTGGTGTTGCATGGTCATGTGTTCTCCAGGAGACAAGTGGAGTGGGAGGCGGCCAGCAACCTGATCGAGGGGATCTGCCTGACGCTGCAGCGGCAGCCAATCATCTCCTTCCTCCCACACCTCCGCTCGCTGATCAACGTCTGCGTCAATTTGGTAGGAAACACACACATGAGGAGGGGAAATAAATCTTTCTTTCTGAGCCTCTTTCGAGCGTTTTTGTTTATGTGCTGTCAGGTGATGGGTGTGGTCGGTCCCTCCAGCGTGGCCGACGGGTTGCCTCTCCTCCACCTCAGCCCCTACCTCTCGCCGCCGCTTCCGTTCAGCACGGCGGTGGTGCGGCTGGTCGCTCTGCAGATCCAGGTGCGGTAACGCCGCCGACGTCACACATTCACTCACAGCCAGTCTGGTGATACTGCTGAAACTCTCCGCTTCTGTCCTTCGCCAGGCCTTGAAGGAGGACTTCCCTCTCAGTCACGTGATCTCGCCTTTCACCAATCAGGAGAGGCGAGAGGGGATGCTGCTCAACCTGCTGATTCCTTTCGTGTTGACGGTGGGGTCTGGAAGCAAAGGTGATGTAAAATGCGAAGATGCTCTTGTGTTTGCAACTGTATTATTGATGGAGCATCATAGAAATGCAGCAGTTCTGAAAGTTTACATCTCATTAAAAGTTACTCCTCTTAAGTTCTCTTTAGTTCCAACTTAAATCTTTGTTGCACACATTTTGGGGTTCTGACTTGTTGATTTCTAGCATCAAATTAGATTAAAATTGCAGTTTCAATGTCCCAAAACCTGTAAATGCTGTTCGATTTCATGCCAACTTGTTCATCTTTCACGCCTTTGTGTTTCTCCCTCTGCAGACAGCCCCCATCTGGAGCAGCCGGAGATCTTCCTGCTCCTCCAGACCGTCATCAACATCCTCCTCCCTCCTCGGATCATCTCCACCTCCCGCACCAAGAACTTCATGCTGGACGCCTCTCCGGCTCACTGCTCCACCCCCGGAGACACGGGGAAGGATCTGCGCCGAGAGGGTTTGGCAGAGTCCACCAGCCAGGCTGCGTATCTGGGTATGACTGAGATGGTGCAGCTTTTTATGTCCTCTCTGGTTGTTTTTTATCTCATCCTCTTCCCTCCGTCCTTCCCTTATCAGCCCTGAAGGTGGTGCTGGTTTGCTTCGAGCGCTCGCTGGGAAACCAGTGGTACCGTCTGAGCCTGCAGGTGAAAGAGATGGCGCTGAGGAAGGTGGGCGGCTTGGCCTTCTGGGACTTCATCGACTTCATCGTCCGAACCCGCATCCCTATTTTTGTCCTGCTGAGACCCTTCATACAGTGCAAGGTAAGAGACCAGTTTCATGTCGGACCCCTCTTATGGACTTCAATGGAACTTCCTTACATTGATGCTCAGGGCTGAAGGGTTTAATATTTAGTAGTTATGATCAGGAGTTAAAAACATACTTTTTCTGACTCGACATGGACATTGTTGTCTTTAAGGTCCTGGCAATGAGTATTCAATGTGACTCTGCACAAAAATAATAATGCACCAGAATACATGTTGTTGCTAATCATTGTAATATCCCAGACTGTGATAAAGGGAAAAAAAAAAACTTATTTAGTAGTAAAAACAAGAATAATTATTTAAAAAAAAAAAAAAAAAAAAGTTTATTTTGTGGCACTGTGTGAACAAACTAAAGGGTTGAAATTCAAAAAATGAATAAAATATTTGTTAGCTATGATTAGGACTGATGTTGGCTAGAAATTAACTTAGTAAAAGCAAAAAAAATATTATTCATATTTAACATTTTGGAAGGCTGTTGTTTTTTTAACATTAAAAATTTTTACCTAAAGGTCCTGTGTATGATTTATTTTATTTTATTTATTTTGTATTTTATTTTGTATTTTATTTTTTATTTCATTTTTAAAATTTCTTTTATTTCATTTTATTTGATTTCATTTATTTCTTTTTATTTTATTTTTATTTCATATTTTTAATTTCTTTTTTAAAAAAATTTGTTTCATTTTATTTATTTATTTTATTTATTTATTTTTTAAATCTGACACTGCACAAAAACATGCCTAAATCCACATTGTTGCTAATTAACAATATATTCAAGACTGTAATAATTAAGTAAATATTTGCCTCTTACCTCTTACTAATAATTAACTTTTTGTTGTTTTTTTTAAAGTAATGATCATGACTGATGTTGGTTATAATATTTGTATGTAACATTATTTTGATGCAGACATTTTTGACCTCTGAATAACAGTTTTAAACTGACACCTGAGGGTTAACGAATGTTTCCGTTGCTTTCCCTTTAACCCTTCTAATTACTGTTGTCTCATTGTCCTGACTCTCTTCTATCTTTCTCGTCCATCTATGCTCGCTCGACAGCTGCTGACCCAACCGGCTGACTCCCAGGAGGAGATCACAGCGCGCCACCACATCGCCGACCAGCTGGAGCGACGCTTCATCCCTCGACCGCTCTGCAAAAGCTCCCTGTTCGCAGAGTTCAACAACGAACTCAAGATCCTCAAGGAGGCGGTGCACAGTGGCTCTGGTCAGACGCTGAAACAACTTACAATGGAGGCTTTATGTTGTAATTTTAGAGAAATTGCTGACTCGGCTTTCTGTTCGATCCCCTCCCACCCAACAGCGTACCAAGGCAAGACCTCCATCAGCACAGTGGGCACCTCGACATCGGCCTACCGCCTCAGTTTGGCCACCATGTCCCGCTCCAACACCGGCACCGGCACCGTCTGGGAGCAGGACAGCCAGCCGTCGCGGCAACCCTCGCAGGACACGCTGAGCCGCACCGACGAGGACGACGAAGAGAGTCAGAAGCGCTTCCTCTTTAACATTTTCATTTGACGTTAAAATCTTCAGTGAGCTCACCGTGCTTCCGTCCTTCCAGATGACTCCATGAGCATCCCCAGCGTGGTGAGCGAGCACGAGGCCTTCCTGCCCAGGGTGACGTCGCAGCGCCGCTTCTCCAGCCACGCCACCGGGTCGGCGGCCTCGCAGCCCGAGGCCCCGCGCACCACCATGCTGCCCAGCCACAGGTAGCACGTCCAGCAGGATGAGCGCAACTTTTAAAGACAGGCGTTGTCGCAAATTGTAGTTTTGGCTCTCGACGACGCCACGCTGCTCCATGACCAGTGTTTTTATTCAACAATCTGTCTTCTGTTGGGACCTTGTTGGGTCAAAACACTGGACAACATGGAGGATCTTTTTTTTGTTGTAGTAGACGATACAGGACAGAAAACATGAGCAGGTAACGAGGCAGAAATAATCTCACTGGATCGAAAACCTCAAGTGGAGCCAACAAACAGTAAAAATCAATCTCGGCATGCAAATATGTGCAGCTTAGCTCGTTTTCAGGTTCTGATTTGCTTTTTATATGTTGCTCACTTTGATTGACAGCAAATTGGCTCCTCCCACCGAGGTCCAGCTCAACCAATGAGATTATTTCCAGGCTTCAAGACACATTCATGTACAATTCAAATCTTTTTTATTTTTTAATGTAAGCATGTAGAACTGAAAAGAATCAACCAGTCATATCCCACGACCATATTTTTCTGTGTATATCTCTGTTGACTGATAATGTTTCTTTACCCAGCAGCCTCAGGGCGGCATTGTGAAGTAGCCGGTAAGAACGTTGGCTAGCTCTTAAGCCAAAACGGCCTCCCGCCCTCAATGAAGGAAGGCGCTCGGGGCGGTTGAAGGAAATCTCAAAAAAAACACTCCCTAAATTCCCGTTCTCCCCCCCCCTTCGACCCCCCTCTTTACAGTGAACCCAATGTGCTAGATGAGTCCCAGGGCCTTCTGCAGGAGGGTAACCTCTCTAGGTACAGTGGCCCTCTCTCTGTGTGTGTCCCGTTGGTGCATTCTGGCATCCTGTCCGCCACTGGGAGGGGCATCGCATCGGGACGGCCTCCTCTGTCGGGCCGCCTCACTCATCCACATCCAGTCAAATCGCCTCGGCCCACCACACCTACCCCACCCCTCTCCACCCACTTACCTGTCTCTATCTCTTTCTCTGTGGGTCCAGTGTGCCTTGTCTCTGTCCCCTCCCCCTCCCCCCGCCTCACTTCCTGTTGAGCTCCACACTGACCCTCATCTTCTCAGCTCATCTGCTGCGCTATCCTAACCAGGCCCCTCCCCGTTTATTATAAAAAAAAATTAATCATAATAAAGCTAAAAGAGGATCCCAGGGCCAGGGAGCTCTGCCTCTGTTCCTTCTCTGTGAGCTGTGGGTCTTTAACCGTTGATGTGCCATCACCAACGTCAGCCTCTCTTCCCATTGGTGCCATGGTGTTCCCATACTGTATACGTGTCTATCAGGCTTCTCGCTGATCAAATTGGGCGTCCTACTGTGGATACCAATCTGTAGGGGCAAGGGGGAACTGGGGTGGCAACCATAATGCACTTTTCTCATTTTCTTTTTCGGGCAATCTGATCTGTTTTTTTGGGTTTTCTTGATGATCGAGCATTTTTTATGGCGTTTTTGGGGGGAATTTTAAACACAAAAAACAGCTTTCATATGATGACAAGTCTCTTTTGTCAGGGTTGCTGCTCCAGCCCCTACTATCCCCTGTTGTGTTCTTCGGTGTATGAATCATGGCAGCACTGTTTACTCCTGTGACTGGGTGTCTCGTAGTGTGTGTCTGAGTGAGTAGGATAGCGGCAGCATCTTGTTGTGATCGAAGGCGTGTTCGGCTCGCGAGCACAGCTGGGGGGGGATGTGGTGGCCTTTTGGTCCCTTCATGGTTTTACGTGTTTTGTTTGTGTGTGTGTGTGTGTGTGTGTGTGTGGACATGGGTGTGTGTGCTGGTAAATGCAAACATATGTGTGTGTCCGTTTGATTTGATAAATCAGGGTTGCCAGCGTTCAGAGCGAACCGGGCCAGCAGAACCTCCTGATCCAGCCTCCTTTGGGGAGAAAGAGAGGACTCAGACAGGTGGGGAAGCCGGTTTGTCACGTGTTTTAATGAATGTTAGGACGAATAAGCCGAATTTGATCAGATTCAGCTTCATGACAGATTTTTTTTTTTTGCTCTCAAATCACAAAAACATGCTTAGAATGAACCAAAAGTTGAGCGACTTTCATTTTAGCACATTTTAATACAACCAAACACCACACAGCACGACAAAACTTGATTACATTTTAGGAAAATAGTGAGAGATTTTAAGTTTAGTTGAAATTCAGTCGTTCTCAGGTGCCGCTTTGCGCAACAATCTACTAAACCAGCTTGTTTAAATGTGAATTCCCCGCAGCTGCGACGCCCCCTGCTGTCCATTCCAAAGACGGAGCCGCGCGGCCGATCCGGGGCGAGGCTTTCCACGACGCGCCGGAGCATCCAGCCCAAGAACAAGCCGCTGGGTAACGGCACACACGCTCTCTGTAGCTAAGCGACGACGACACCGCTCAAAATTTTACCCTGCACTTCAGATCGAGCACACAAGCACAAAATCCAGACTGATTAACGCTGCGTCTAATGTGTGCTGACTTGAAGTGACCCGTCCCTACCTCCCCTCCTCGACCTTTCACAACCTCTGTCTTTGTTCCAATGCTGTTTGTTGTTCCACCTGTCACCAGACTGACTCTTCTCACTCTGTTCTGTCTCATGCCCTATGTTTCGAAATAAAGAAACTTTATTGGACTGTGAAGGTGAGACACAACCCTTAACCCTTCCTCTCCACCCTGCAACGGCCCGCCCCCTCTTTTTTTCTTTTCCTTTCTTTTTTTTTAAATCTGCAACCTCACCCAATAGGGCGCTCTGCATGTCTGTCTTGCATCCCCTCCCAGTCCCTCCCTCCTGTCCCACTCCTCTCTTTGGTGATGTGTTAGCGAGCCGCCAGCTGGCGCCGTCGCCTCTGTTTTGACCACATGCGTGTGTGCCCACAGCGCACGGAGACCAAAAGAGGTCAGTCACCTTTACAGAGAATCAAGGCCAGCAGGCGGCTCCGGGGGCCGGGAAGCCTCCGACTCCCAGCGCCGCGGACCCTCCGGCTGAGGGCAGGAAGGCCAGTCCCGCCCCGTCCAAGTCCCCAACGCTGGAGGTGCCCCCAGCCTCTTCTGCCACGGTCACCGCCGACCTGCACGGACCTGCGAACACACAGGTAGGACGAGTTCTGTGGGCGTCCAGAGCCAAGCGGTCAAAACGTGCAACACAGATAAAGACATGTGATCAAACAATGACATTATGAAACAGTCCAATGGCATTTAAAGCTTTAGTTTTTACCCATAGTGCCCTTTATCCAGCTTAATGTCCACTTTAATTTACATTTTTCGTCCATCGATGAAAACAAGTCACAAGTCATGTGATTGGCTGTTGCTTTAATCCGAGTGCGTGAACAGCCAATCACACGCTCCGTCCTCTTTGTCTTGATTGGCAGACGTTATGTGCAAAATAGTATGAAAATATCGGATTATTTTACACTTTCATCTTAGATTATTCTGATAAATTTGAGCGTCTTTGTGCATACATACATGTTTTCCTGAAAGCAAAGCAACATCAAAACTGAACATTAAGATGTAAATTGCAAGTGATGTCCCAAAAAAAGTTGTTGTTCACCCAAATTACAAAAACAAACTTTTTCTAGATTTTTTTTTCCAGTGTCTTCTCGTGTGCACAGGTTTTGTTTCTTCCTAAACTAATGGACAAGAATGGATTTTTGTTTCTGATGGTGAAAGCGCTGGAAAGCACTGTAAAAACAAATGCACAGTATTGATCATGAATAGTTTTGCCGACTGGTGTACAAAATGAAAATCAATTCACCTTCGCAGTGCAGAAACTGATATCACTGGATGTCAGGAAGAAGATAGAAGTTTGTTAGAGGTGCCACTGACCAGGTGGTAACTACAGAGTCCCATCTGTGTGTTTGTGTGTCTACGAACAGTCTCTAGCTCGAGAGTTGAGGTCTAACAAGTTGATATTTGAGCTGGGAATGACCTCTCCTCTCCTTTGATTTTCACTGGAATCTTTCTGCGTGGAGTCTCCATGTTCTCCCCGTGCAGTGTGGGTTCTCTCCTGGTTTTCCGGCTTCCTCCCACAAGGTCCAGAAACATGTTGAGGTTAATTGGTGATTCTAAATTGTCCGTAGGTGTGGATGTGAGTGTGCTTGGTTGTCTGTCTCTAAGTGTGGCCCTGTGATAGACTGGTGTCCCCTGCCTTCACCCTGAGTCAGCTGGGATAGGCTCCAGCCCCCCCTCCAGCCCCCCCTACCCCTCACCCTAGTGAGGATTAAGCGGTGTATAGATAATGGATGGACGGATAAACCTATAAGCCAGGTCCTCGAGGGCCACAGTCCTGCATGTTTTAGATGTTTCCCCTCTTCCAGCGCACCTGATTCAAATGATCAGCTCATCATCAAGCTCTGCAGAAGCCTGATAACGATCCTGATCATTAGAATCAGGTGTGTTGGAGGGAAACATCTACAACATGCTGGATTGTGGTCCTCGAGGACCAGGATTGGACACTCCCGCTATAAGTATCTCTGTTTCCTCTCCCAGGTCCCTCCAGCCATCAGCAGCAAGGAGAAGAGGGAGCAGTGGGGCCTCCGGAGCAGCCTCTCTCCTCCCCCCTCCATCTCCCGCCCCTCCACCCCAACACCTCCATCCCGGACCTGCTCCCCGCAGCCCCTCTCCCGAACCTGCTCCCCCCTCCCTTTGTCCCGCACCTCCTCTCCCCTCCCCCCGCCGCTCCCTCTCCTCAGCACGGCGCCGGCCCCGGGCCCCCCGCCGCCGCCGCCGCTGCCGGCCGCCCCGCTCCTGCCTCCGCCTCCGCCGGGGCCGTCCAGGATCAGGGAAAGCCCCGGGGACGAGGACACGACGGCGCTGCTGCCTCGCAGCGACACCCTGCTGCAGCTCAGCGAGGACGACGGCACCGAGAACCCCCTCCTCACCCCGCTGCTGTCCCCTCCGTCGCCCCGCCGCTCGCCACGCCGCTCCCCGCTGCCCCTCTCCCCCGTCGACCTGGACCTGGACGAGTCCCACGTGTGAGGGAGGGGACAGGTGGATTGTGTTTTTCTATCAAAGGCCATACAGACACCTGCAGGGACAACAAGCTGAAGGCTGTGCAGTGGACATTTCTGAACTGGACAATCTAACAGGACCCAGTTTCAAAGGAACAGAATGAACAGGCAGGATAATTCTCTCACTACCCAGAACCCACCAACATGGTTTTTGTTCCGTCTGTGGCGCCTCATTGACGACCCAAATCCTAAAAGCCTCTTGTTTCTCCCCTCGGCTTTGCCCCAGAACTAAACTGCTCTCCCCTCAGTCGAGCTGTTTAGTATCTTTCCTGAATCATGGAAATCATTCTGTCTGTCCTCACGCTGAGGGCTGAATGTATACGATCTACCTTCACTCCATCACAGGATCTTACCTTCAGATGTTGGTTGTTTGTCTGCCTGTGCACCCTGAGATCAGAGGTTTATTTTTCAGTTATATTTTCCATCATACACAACATTAGAAAGGACAGCAAATACTAACTTATAGAGATCAGAGACGGATTATTTACTAGATGTCTATATTGGAAAAAGGAGATGCTATAACTTGTACAGCGACGCAAAGGTACTAAATGCAGATTATATGAAGAGCCATTCTAAAGGGGGCGACTTAACTGAGCACCTTTTTATTAAATGAAAGGAATAAATATAGAAAACATTGTATGTATTTTAAACATGTGTTGTCACATAGAACAGGAGTGAGAGATGCTGTAACCATAAGTCTATGAGATTTTTATATTTTAGAAAAAAAATGAATTTTATGTGTCGAATATATATATACTGCAAAGAAACGTTCATGGAACAAGTTTTAGTTGGATAGTAACGGGCAGAAATTCATGTAGACTTTTTAAATCTGTGTTCAAAGAAAGTATTTCATGTTAGTTGTTGAAAACTCTGAGGAGTTAGAAAAACAAGCTTTTACCAGAGACGATAAAAGATGGACGCCATTGTAGTTTGAACCCCTAAACATACCCTGATTTATTGTCTATTCTACTCTACATGGGACCATAATGTACAAAATTAACATCACGTTGTATTTATGAAGACTTGAAAACAGCGATGGAGAGCGCAAACGACTAACTGAGGTCGTACAAAGTTTCTCGATACCAGAGGAGTCGCCCCCTGCTGGCCGTTTGAAAGGATGCAGATTAAAACCACATCCTGTTTACTTTTCAAACCCAGAGGCGACGTCCATCTTTTATAAGCAGTCAGTGGTATTTACCAGGCATCTGTGGTGTTGCATTATGGGAACTGTAGTGCACAACTGAATGGAAATGCAAAACCAGTTATAGCCCCTTTAACTTGACAGTTTCATGTGTTTTATCTGTCTGTGTGCTGATTTTCTTCTGAACTGCACCGGAAATGACAGAAGTGAAGGAAACCAGGATTTAAACAACGGCTCCACTGTGCGATCACCACCTCCACCGTATGTCCCACGATTCCACGGTGTATCTTGTGCTGCTCGGCGTCTCGGCGGAGCATCTTTTATTTGTGACCAAAGACTGTATCTCTATGTTGTGTTTCGGTGGTCTCCACAGTTATATCAGCTAAAAACTAGCAGTTCTATTAACATAAATAAGAATATATTACGTACAAAAGACACTTGTTCTGATGTCGCAGTGCCGGTCATGCTGTTCTCTTTGTGTCTGTGGTGTTGTCTCATTTTTCGGAGCGGCGGGGCAGGAGAGACTCTTTTTCTCGCAACTGTGACGAAGCGATGCAGTAGATAGCCATTACCTCGTTGCTCATTCCATGCCTTAACAGAGAAAACACGTCTGTCGATATCAACACGTCTGCGTACATCACTTTATTTACTCCAGTGAAAACCTCATACCTCCGGAAAACAGACCAGCTTGCCCGCGAACAGGGCAACGCTTCTTTTCTCTCTCTATCTTTAATACGTTGTAACTTCTGGCTGTTTGAGAGGGAAATTTAATAAAGTTATACAACGACCGAGAAAGTTGTGACAAGCTGAATGTCTTTGATTCAACACTGAAAACTCTGCTGTCCAGAAGAATGAGACTTTGAAGATTTTAGGGATAAACCTTGGTTTCTCTCTTGCTTTTTAAAGTTCCACACTGAAAGACAAACATTCCCAACAACAAGAAGACGCAGTTGCTTACAGAGAATGTCGTCTGCTCTGAGGTTGTGCCAGGGGAAGACTCCAAAACTCTGAGAAATGACTCCTACAGTGTCTTTGCCAGAAGCTCAAGGTGTAAGAAATGATAAGTGGTATTTTCAATTCAATACCCAGCTGATCTTATCAATTTTGAAGCCCAACGCACAAAGTAAAAGTATCCAGAAAGTAGCAGGAACAAGTGACCCAATAGGTCAGAGTGATAGACAATGGCTTCATGTTTCAGAATTAGTGGTTCAATTCCTTAGGAGGGTCAGTGACTTTTGACTTCCAACTCCCAAATTAAAGACTGAAAACAGCCCCAAAAGCATTGCGGACGTGTCTCTCAGTAGCTCAGCACAAGTGCTCATGGTCTCAGAGACTAAAGGTTCAAGTCTGAAGAGAGTCTGAGACTTTTATAAGTCTGACATCAAGAATTAAAACATAACTGTCCAGAAAGCAGCTCAGCCATGTGGTCCTATAGGGCAGCATGGTAGAGAAGTGTTTGGGACTTCAGAGACTCTGAGTTCAAATCTTATGAGTGTCTTTTGAACACTCAACAATCAAAGTGAAAAATCAAAACCACACAAAGAGACCAAATCAACACTTGAGGCCTCAGTGGCATGATGGGTTCATTTATTGCCCTTGATGTTGTGCTTTGCTGATGGAGTTCCTGGATCAAATCCTGCTGGTCTTAACTTGTCAAATTGTTTTTGACTTTCAGCTCCACAACCAAGCAGGTCATGCTGGGAGTCCAGCATTGACTAAATATCACTCAGAGGGTTTACAAATCAGCCTCTCTCTTGGTTTCTACCCCTCTGACACATTCCTAATGTCCATCCCACGTTTCTGGAACCAAAATCAGGCTACATGAAGTCATTCAGGGTAACTTCTGTGAGTAATGAGCTGCTGCCTTCTAACCTCAAGAGGAACATTTGGGAATATGCTGACATTACATTCGACTTGACCATGATGCTCAGATCTCAGAGGTTGGACCACTAATAATTTCATGGACAGGTCATTCATCAGGAGTATCTTAGTGGTTTAGTGGTTAAATAACCAAACTTAAAACCAGAATGTTAGTGGATCAAATCCAGCCAGTGTTGTGTTTTTCTGTCTGTGACAAAATGATGACGTATCACCCTGATGGTAACAACACTGAGTGAAGGTTGGTGGACACCCAAAGGTTTCTACATTGCAGCAGTGTTTTCAGCCAAACTAAAGATACAACACAAAGACCGTATGACTCGACAAGACAAGGAGAAGTTTACCAAAAAGCACTTTGTTTTGGA